TGTCTCCAGTATAAAACTCACAGGGCCCCCACCCCATATGAGTATCCTATTTTTCTTCCGTTGGAATAATTCTGGACGTGCAGAATTATTGAAATATTTATATGTAAATTCAAATTGGCTATTTCATAACTTATTTTCTTGCCTATTGATAAACAAACAAGGACAGCCTATTGGCTAATTACTTGTCTCATTTTTAATTTTTAATTTCGTTATGCAAATATATTTAAAATCCCTGTACTATGTTTCGTAGGATTAAAATCTTTTTTTTAGTAAATTTTGATAGAAATTAATGGAATGTGTGATTGTGGGACTCATAAAATATGCGATTAAAATTAATTATTAATTTTAACTTAAATTGATACCAAACAAGGGAAGCTTTCCACCTCGACTTTACAATGTACCACTTGCCTCCTCGATTGTTAGAAAATGTGGGAACTTTATCTTTTGAAAAAGAAGGCAATCTTGTTGGATGTGAAGATGAAGTTGCGAAAACACCCCATGGACAAGTATTGATGTTTCATCATTTGCAATGACTCTCGTCGACTTTCCTTGAGTGAAGATTTTATTTTGCACATCTCTTTATCAAAAGAAGATTCAAACATTGGACTTACTTACTAGTAATCGATTTATAGAGGTTATTTTTATTAGTTTTGGTTACCTTTTTTTCCGAATCCTTATTAGATTCGATTTAAGGTATCTTGTACTTATATTCTTTTTCATGGGATTTTCGATTCGTCCCCTTCTCTAACTTGCACTTTTTCAATTTGTTAAATAATGATTTCTACGATATGGTGGGTTGATTTTTAAAAAAGGGTAAACTGTCAATTAGTTTAATTTGTCACATTTATGTCTCAAACATTTTTATATTGCATTTTTATTCTTAAACTAAAATAAATTGTTCCCAATTATGATTTCTCTTCAAAAAAATTTCCTTATTATACATTTTTCATTAAAATAATATTTCAAAATATATTTCGGCAAAAAAGAATTAGGGCTTGACAGGCACTTAATAAATAGTAAAAACACACCTTTGACCATTTTACTTTTAAATAAACCAGTGGTGTAAAGGACATAAGTGTAGTGGTAGTCTCAACTTTGCTAACAGCCGCAGTGTGAGGGTTCGATTCCTGAGATATGAAATTGGACTCTTTGTGAGTACCAGTGTACGGGCAAACTTTTGTTCTCTGGCCGATTGGGGCACATCCTTCGATTTACCTCTTGCACAATACTCCAGGAACGAGGCGGTGGGGCCCTCAAGATTGGGGTTCAACCTTTTTTTTTTCTTTTTTTTTAATGAAAACAAATTATAATGCAATGATGCAACTAAATAATTAAACCTCATTTCAAAATGCGATAACAATATTTGGGCAAAAATTATGATTAAGAAGAAAAAATTTTAATCAATAAAATGTTCAAAATATGAACGTGATCAAGAAAAATTAAGAATATAAGTGTAATAATGAATAAAAGTTAATGATATCTAGCTCCTATTTGGCCTCATTATTTGATGTTATAATTTTTGAAATAATGTTTTTTTGGACAATGTATGTTTGAAAAAGAAGAATTTTTTTAATTTATATATAATATTATTTTATCGAAAAATATATAATTAAAAAAAGAGAGAAAAATGTATCACGAATTTTGACGGGGTTCAAACAAGATATTAAATATAATTAAGATGTAATATATTTGTAAAAAATTATATTATTGATAAAACGACCTTTTATAATTTCTGTACGAACATCGATTCCCTCGTGCATCTCATGGTAACAAGCCTGGTCTGTCACATTGGCCACAAAAAAATTATATTATTAATATAATTAGCACTCGTTGTACATATCACGTGACGTGGACCCATTGTCCCATTTTTTTAAAATGAAAATGAGTGAAATATTTTTTTTTTAAAAATAAAGTGGTTGAAAAATAAAAAAAAATTTCTATTTACATGTAATAATATTTTTGTGTGATTAAAAATAAGAGAATAAAAAATAAAATATAACGAAATTTCGCTTTTAATTTTCGAACGGGCATAGAAGAGCAAAATTTCGCTTTTAATTTTCCAACTGCACCGCATATACTGCCATAAAGCGAATATTCCAAATTTCATCATTACATTTTGATTTCTTTCAATCTCATTCGAGTTCCAATATTTAAAAGGGTAATGCTATTCTACTATGCGGGGCTCAACAGAACCGCCACAGATTACTCACGTGCAAGGAGTAGGTAATTTTTGGGCATTTTTTATTGGATGGGGTCCACTCCTATTGTGAGTCACCTGTAGAAAATCTGGTAAAATAGATTTGGTAGAATGGCTTTATCCCATTTAAAAATTTATTTTTTTATCATCCACTCTTTCAATAAAATAATTTTCAATGTAAATTTAATTTTTTTAATTTTTAACTAAACATTTTTCTAAAAATTATTATTACAAAATTTAATTTTCTCAAATTTGAGGTTTAAACAAAGGCCTCTATTTTGAGTCACATTAAATTCCTAAAAATATATTTTTGAATAGTGTATTGATAGAAAATGTATATTTAAAAAATAAAGAAAAATTTTGAATTTATACGTAATATTATTTTATTGAAAAATGTGTAGTTGAAATGATGACAAATCACTGTTTAAGAATATATTTTTTTTGAAAAAAATGTGGTTCAAACATGACCTTAACAGTCAATGAGATAAAAAAAAATTAAGTATTTTGATTTTTAAAAATTCTTTAATAAAGTTTGTATTTCTAAAAATGCAACAACATTAAAGAAACACTGGAAAGATTAATAAAATATGGAGCGGGAATATTGGGGGAAAAAAAAGGAAAAAGAAAAAACATTACGAGAGTATAGTACACCTTTTCGCCTTATTTTGAGTTATCATATTATTTGAAAAATAAATATTTAAAAATTAAAAATTGTCCCAAATTTTTATTTATAAATAATGTTAATCTCGATCTTGAAGATTCAGAATCCAAAACGATAATTCATATCAATTTTTATGAATGCCAGTTGAAAGAAAATGAGATTCAATAGAAAAAGAAAATTAGTGTCTGCAACTTTTATTTATGCTTGAAAATGGTATATTATTATTATTATTTTCTTATTTTTTATTTTTTTTTAATTGGGGTTGAGGAAGTGAATTTCGGTATATCCAATATTTATTATTTATCGAATTTCGTTATGAAAGAATTATATACAGCAGAAAACACTTGCATATACATTAAAAAATAATAATAATAAAAATAAAAAAATTCAATAACAACTCTACATTTTTCAAGCTATTGAACCAAACAAAGTCATAAAAGCCACATGGTTTCAATTTCTCTTAGAACATTCTCAAGAGAGTCTTTAATTTTAAAAAGCATATTTTATAATTTAGAGTGCATTTATAAATTTAGAGAATAAAATTTTTGAAGGACTCGAAAAAGCTCTTTTTATTTAATACTTAGTTTTACCACCCTAAAAAATATTTATTATTTTTCTCTCTTTTATTTTAATTAACTTTTCTTTAAATCATTATATTAATTTTTAACACTGAAATTTGAAATACTTTGAATACATTTAATTAAAGAGAATGAATCTGCCCATTCTTTAAGGAATAATGCTATTTGCAATCGCTCACTGCAACAGTCGCCTTATGTGGCATATACATGACAGGTAGTTATTTGATACATTAATGAATAAAAAACATACCACATTAATGTATCAAATAATCACATGCCATGTGTATGCTACGTAGGGTGACTACCGCAGTGAACGACTACGAATAACATTACTCTTCTTTAAGAGGGTGTTTAAAATTCATTTTCATATAAAAATGTATTTTAGAATAGTAAAATGATAGAAAATGTGTGGTTAAAAAATGAGGAAAAATTTTGGATTTACGTGTAATATTATTTTAATAAAGAATGTGTGGTTGAAAAGAAAAAAGAGAAAAATGCATTTTGAAAAAAATGAGTACCAAACAGAGATTAAATGAAAATGTTAATTTAAAGAGTCTCTTAAAACATGATTCTTAATATTGACTCTTTTCTCGTTTGGCTTCTATTAAATTTCATTTCATTTCTCTCTTATTTTCAACCACACAATTTTTTATAAAATAATGTTATACGTAAATCAAAAAAAAAATTCTTCTTTTTTAACCATTTATTTTTTTAAAAAATTATTTCATCCATTTTTATTTTTGAAAAATGGGGCCAAACGGTAGCTAAAAGACACTGAGTCTCTTATGTCTTCAAGATTTATCGATTTGACTATTCCTAACAACCTGTCACTTTATTGGTCACTAATATAGAATATTTTATTTTATTAAGCATTAAATGTTCAGTTTCCAAGATAATATATTTTATCAAGTGGGGTTTTTTGTTTCCAGAAATGTCAACACAGTTACTATATCGGTTTGAAGATTGATGCGATGACGTCGACTCTATTGACTCCATTAAGGCATTAACTTCATGTCCCTAACATGTATAGTATAGAGTCATGTTCTTGATTTAGCCTCGTGAACGTGTAAGATAAATCTTTAGATGTACGTGACAAAGCTGAACTCAACTAATTACTAAAATTGAAAATCTTGTGATGATAAACTCTCGTGTGATAGAGATGATGTATGCTAACTGGTTGAAAGAAGATTGACGAAAAATGTTAGCGCTTGGGAGGTGTTGTGATGATAATTTGTATGGACCATTATGATGCAGAACTTTGTTCAAGGTAAAATTGTTGTTGGCATACAAATAAAATTACATTCATATTCGCAATTTCGCTTCCTCAACCCGATTCATAAAAGAATAAATAAATATATTATAATAATAATAATAATAATAAGAGGAAACACAGGAAAACCCAACGTGGAGTTCAAAGACGTTGAAGATGAAACTGAACCAGCAAAGATGATTTTAGAGAAGCTAGTAATCAGGGACGGACGTAGACATTTTAGACTAGGGGGTCAATAACGAACTTTTAAAAAAGTGATGAAAAATTAAAATAAGATATATCTTATTACAATTGCTATCTACGTGTTCTCATACTTTGATAACATTCCATAATTACATCATTTTCAATCTTATCAAAAACATCTTTCTCAATATATACAATCAAACTATCATTCAACCATTGATCTTCGATTCGATTGCGAAGACAATTTTTGATGTAAGTCATTGCAGAAAATGCTCTCTCGATCGGAGCAGTAGCCACGGGAAGAACTAAGGTTAGTGTCACAAGTTTGTAGACTAATGGATACACTTCATGTTTATTCTTCACAATCAACTTCTGTGCAAGATCGCTAATACCTTGTAATTCTTCAAAATCTTCAGAAGTGTGCATATCAAGAATATACATATCTAGTTGATCATCAAGTTCTAGAATATCTGCTGCATCAAAACATACTGGATAATACTGACATAGTCGAATCAATTTGATCTTGTCAAAAGCAGCAAATGAATTACTTGAAGATAAACACGCAATACAAATAAGCAAGTCACTATTTACTTCAAAAAAACGATCATTCAACTCTTAAAGTTGCATATTAATGACGGCATATAAAACATTTACACACGAAAATGATGCAAATTTGTCACTGTCTCACGCCGTGGACGAACTACAGTTACGAACATATCATCCATAACGGGAACATTGATCTTGTGAGTTTCACTAAACGAACAAATCACTCCCAAAAAAGAATCTCATCCATCATCTCTCATGATTTGGAGCCATATTTTACATATTTGCACCAATTTCATAGCATTGACAATATTTTGGTCCTTTCTTTGTAATGCTCTTGACAATTCGTTTGAAATCCCTAAAATCTTTTTCCTGAGATGTAGATTAAATGCAAATTTAAATCTTAACATCAACTCCAATGAAATGCATGCATCACCTCTTTTTCCGGTACTTATAGTATCAATAGCAATCATCTCAATGACATCGACTATAGTTGAAAATATGGCAATCAAGTTAATTAAACAACTATAGTGAGAGCCCCAACGTGTATCACCAAAACGCTAAAGAGTAATTTCTTGATTGAGACCCTGTTCGCTTGATATTTCACCAACACTAAGTGATTCAAGAATTTTCTTTCTTTGGTTCTCTCGATTAAGATCACTCCGTTTAGTTGATCCTCCAACAATATTCACCAATCTATGTACTGTAGTGAAGAAAGTTTCAATCTTCGAATTTTTTGTGCCACAGCTACAAGAGTTAGTTAAAGTTGATGAGCAAAGCAATGGATGTAGTAAGCACTTGGATTTTCTTTCAAAATAAGTGCTTTGAGACCATTATACTCACCTCACATGTTACTAGCTCCATCATATCCCTGACCTCTCAAATTAGATATGCTTAAGCTATGCGTTGAGAATAATTGATTAATTGCAGCCTTAAGTGAGGCAGCTGTGGTATTCAAAACATGAATGACACTAATAAAATGTTCCAATATACACCCACTCTTCACATAACCAATGACAACTAACATTTGCTCTTTCACAGAAATGTCTCGAGATTCATTAACTAAAATTGGGAAGAAACTATCACGAACATTTTCGAAAATCACATGTAGACATTCAGAAACAATAGCACTTACAATATCTTTTTGCACTCTTGGTGATGTTAATTTCAAATTCTCAGGTGCATTTGTCAAAGTAATGGCCTTAATCATGATTATGATCACACAACCAATGCAGTAGTTTAAGAAAGTTTTCTTGATTGTTTGAATCTTCAAATTCATCATGTCCACGAAATGTCATCCCTTGTCGTAGAAGAAATCGAACACAATCAATTGAAGCATTTAATTGGATTCGATAATTTGTTCGAGCTTGATGTGATTGTTTAACGAGACAAGATCGAATACTTTGTTCTTAATTCTTAAACAATTCATATTTGACCCGAGCTTGATTGTGTGCACTACTTAAAGCCCCAACGTGTTTTCTTATATATTCTTTCTTTTTCCAATTTGAGAATCCGCCTTTAACAAATACCACCATTCAAATCAAAAAGAAAATAATAAAAGCAAAAAATTGCATCATTTGCTATACTGTATTCCAACCAAATGGGATGCTCATTATACCACGAAACATAAAATCGTCGATCTATTTTACCTATTCTTGTGGGTGAAAATATATGATTACGAGGCTGACAAGGACCTCTTTGCATATATGTTCTTCAAATCACATCTCGAATATTAACATTATAATAATGATTTGGAACTCTCAATCCAAGATCAGAGGGAAGCTGTGCAACATCAACATCCCCAATATCTCCAATATCTCCAACATCTCCAATATCTTCAACATTTCCAACGTCTCCATTACTCCCAAATCCAACATCAACATCTCCAATACCCCCAACATCTCCAACATTAACATCTCCAACATCGTTTTCATCCCTTTTCTTTCGAACATTCCTTTCGTCGATATTTTGTTCATCACAGGAAATCGTAAATGCACGTTAAAAATATTTTTCCATAACTGAAACAAACCAAAAATGAAAAATCAACAAGATTAGAAATGCCTAAATCAGTTTATACTATGTCATACCTACCAAAAGTTAGACAAAGTTTCAATCTTCCCAAATCAATATTATCAATTTATATATAAATAAGTAACAAAGCCCTAAATCAGAAAAGGGTCAATTTCCTAAATCAAAGCCCCAAATCAGAATTCAGAAATCCCTAAATTACATTTATTAGGCAGGAACCGAACATGAATCATAATTGATTAATTTTATTGTACATAAATCCAAGTTTAGAAATAGAACTAATTAATTGGCTAAGGGCTAAGGCTATTGACTTGCAGAGGCAGGCAGGCAGCAAAGCAATTATGGACTTAAGGTTTTACGGAGAAGAATTCAAAGAAAAATTTTGAGTAAAGCTTCTAACCTTCAAGTCAGTAAAACTGGTTCGCCCCTGACTGATTGCCGAAGAGATTGATGGGTCGTCGGGTCCGACGTTGGCTGTTGCAGTCGCATAGAGGCAGGAGGCGATTCAGGTGGCCGATTGGCCGGTGCATGGCAGCGTGCGTACACTGCGTGGGAAAGAGTAAAAGAGAAACAGTCAGGTAGAAACGACTGGGCACTGGCTGCAGCCTGCAGGGAAGGACAGGTGGCCAGTGGGTGAGTGCTTCAATGGTGGGAGTGCACTGTGTGAGAGCCGGAGAGACGAGAGTCGAGAGAGAAAGAACTGGAGTCTGTAGAAGCAGGGAAGAAATTGTGAATGTTGTTCCGCCAGTGCTAGTAACCTCTAAAATGTAATTTGATTGCTGTTTTTTAAAGGAAGAAAATGAAATTGCTCCCAATTCTGATTTGGCCTTCTCGTCTTATTCAGATTTTTCATATCTTATTTGGAGAATAAATATTAAAAAATTAAAATTCATCTGGATCATTTGTTAAATTTAAAAATAAATTAAAATATGTTTTTAAATTCATTTGGAGTGTCAAAATTCATAAACTCCAAAAACATTTCTCTAGACAAGATAAAAAGTAGCAGTATCCCTACAAATTTTTGCACGAAAATGGATGAAAACTACAAAACTCAAATACGACAGCCTCAACCCTTGTTTATTCATCATGAAATAAGTCTTTAATATTATATAAGTAATATACTACTTGTACATAATGCGATATTCATAACAGTGTCCATCCCCCTTATATAATGAAAGAGGACCCACGGAGATGGATACCCTAATGTACATATAACATCACTCATTATATAAATGTCATGAAATGAAAGATTAATGTTCCATCTACAAACCCAATATTCAATATTTCTTTTTATTTTTAAAATATATCTTTAACTTTGAAATTAAGAGAGAGAAATATATATATATATATATATATATAAAAGAAGTCTATATTAGGAAGGTATGCTAGTCGGGAATCCCTATAATTAAGCCAATCCCTACAATTAAGCCTATTCATGATCCTACAAATTTATTGTTATATCATGTAACACTCCCTCTCAATTTAGAGCATAGATATTAATCATATCCAACTTGTTACAAATATAATCAACCCAAATCCCATTTCAAGCATTTGTGAAAATATCTCCAAATTGTTCTCCAGTTCTCATATATCCTGTGAAAATTAAATTATACTGTACTTTCTCATGAACGAAATGACGATAAATCTCAATATATTCAGTTCCTTCATGAAATACAGGATTAGAAGTAATATGAAGAGCCGCTTGATTGTCACACCACAACTTTGTTGGTATTGAAGTCTTAAGACCAACATCAGTTAAGAGTTTATATATCCACATTATCTCACATACAGACCGTGCCATAGCTCTATGTTCTGATTCTGTACTGGATTGGGACACAACATTTTGTTTCTTACTTTTCCATTCCAATAAAAACATAGTAGCCAGTAGTGGATCTTCGGTCAATTATAAAACCCACCCAATCTGCATTTGAGTAGTATTCAATGTTAATATGCCCATGATTTCTGTAGAGTCCCCATGTCCAGGAGTTCCCAACATAAGATCTATTCTAAAGCTGCCCAATGGTAAACTGTTGGGGAAGACATGAATTGACTTACAATACTGACAAGGAAAATAATGCCAGATTCAAACTATTTGTAGAAGATTGAGTGGTCGGACTTGCTCTTTTGCATTCCAAACTTTTTCACTGCATAACTAAAATTTTCCAACTAAGCATGTAGACTTTGTTTTAAACCATATAAAGACTTTCAAAAATGACACATTTTCCCATACTCCCTCAGTGTAACAAACCCATGTAATTGCTCCATATAAACTTTCTCCTGGAGATCACCATGTAAGAAGGCATTTTTTATGTCGACTGATGTAAAAGCCAATTATGAGTAATTGTCATAGTAATGAATAAGCGAACAAACGTTAATGTAGCTACAAGAGAGAAAGTGTCAGAGTAATCCACACCATAAGTTTGAGCATAGCCTTTAACAACAAGACGAGCTTTAAGCCTAGCCATTGATCCATCAAGATTGACTTTGACTACAAAAACTCACTTACATCCAATAGCCTTTTTTCCTATGGGTAAATTTCACTATATTCCATGTACCATTAGCATCCAAAGCATTCATCTCCTCTATCATAGCATCACGCCAACTAGGATAGGATAAGGCTTTATGAATAGTTTTTGAAAGGTCACGGAGTCAGGGGAAGCAACAAAAGAACAAGACGAAGAAGACAAGTAATCATAAGAAATAAAAGATGAAATAGGATTAGTGTACTGACGTTTACCTTTGTGGAGACCAATAGGTAGATCAAGGTCACTAGACCCTAGATCCGATTTTCAAAGAAGAGTCAGGTGTGGAACATACACTAGGAGGGTTTCGTTGTCTAGAATATACACCTTTCAAGTAGGGAGAGGTGGTGTGAGAGCTACAGGTGTAAAAGCAACGTTGGTTAACTCATAAGTGACATTATAAAACAACAAATCATTATCCTCCCCCTTCCTAAAAGATGTATAAGAAGCAGGAAAGAAAAGAATATGTTCCAGAAAGGTAACATCAGCTGACACAAGATAATTGTTAAGACTCGGATAATAGCATCGATACCCTTTTTGTGGACGAAAGTAACCTAAAAAAATACATTTTAAGGATTTGAGATCTAATTTAGTTACTTGTGGACGAACATCACGAGCATAACAAGTATTACCAAATATTTTAGGTTCAATATAAAACAAGGGTGTAGTGGGAGAAAATGACACTATAAGGAATCTTACCTCGATGAACAAATGAAGGAATCCGATTAATTAAAAAACAAGCCGTGGAGACTGCATTAACCCAAAATTGTTTAGGAATATGCATCTGGAACAAAAGTGTACTGGTTATCTCAAAAAGATGTCTATTTTTCTTTCAGCCACACCATTCTGAAAGGGTGTGTAACAAATGAAGATTAACACGTGAAGATTGGTGAATAATACCATTTTGAAGCATATAAGCCTGAAAAGGGTTGGAAAATTTTTCTTTGGCATTATCACTTCTCAATGTATGTATAGAAATATTAAACCGTGTTTTAATTTCAGCACAAATGGCACTAAAATGAGAAAATAATTCAAAATGATTCTTCATTAAATAAAGTTAAGTCACATAAGAAAAATCATCAATAAAGGTAACAAAATACCGAAATCTAGTTTCGGACACAACAGGACAAAGACCCTATACATCTGAATGAACTAACTCAAAAGGATAGACGATGATGTTTTATAAACTGATACGACTCACAATCTAAAGACGATACATTATGAAACTAAGGACATAATTTTTTTCAAAAAAAATAAAGACAGATTTCCCAATTGATAATGTGCTTTAAAAGGAGTTAAGACACCTGAACACGCAATAGACTTGGGCACCTGTCTATCTAGAATATAGAAATTGCTTGATTCATGTCCTTTATTAATAATCATCTTTGTTGTAAGATCCTAAAAAGACAATGATCAAGAAAGAATGAGATACAACGATTTAGGGTCCAAGTAAGTTTGCTCACAGACATTAAATTAAAAAAAAATTGTGGACTTGAGACAGAGTATAAGAAAATTGATGGAGTTGGATTAATGGTGCCAGAATTGAGGTCAGGAGAAGTAGAACCATCAGCTGAAGTGGCAGATTTGGATAAAGTCAATTTGATTAAGTTGGCGAACTGAAAATTTGAAATAAGAAAATCATTTTTTTGGGTTTGAACTA